CAACTACAATTGCCAGAGGGCACAGTGCCAGAAAAGTTGTTTGCCATGAAGCTAGACATTGAGCTGCTTTTAGAATATTACTCCAGGTTAGTGCTTACATTGGTTTAATTCCTGTCTACAGTTTAATCTCTAATGTTTCCTTTTTTTTCCTTAGAATGATCTCCATGAATGAGCGCATTTGGGCTAACGAGGGCAACGAGTGGCACTTAATACAGTCGGCTATACGCGTCGTTACCCTTCTGGCTGATAATTCTCAAGCTATTTGGTACCGTTCCAAGTAAGTATTTCTACGAATATCTCCCAGGATACAAATTTTATAAATATTGTTTCCATTAGGCGGCGAATATTGGGGAAGGCACAAGATATAGTCGCGGCATGTTTAAATATCTGCTATCAGAAACCGGACACCAACCGTCTACAGCACTCTCTCAAGGAGCTCCAATGCCGTTTACAACGGCTATTAGGTTAATGCCTCTGGCTGGCGTATATTGTAGTTATTTTCAAATGATATATTTTATAGATGAAAACAATGGTATAGCTGTTAAGTTTGACTGAGGTATAAAAGATGTACGTGTTATTTAATTGAATATTTCATGTCTTACAAACTGAGCAACTCAACTCGCATACACTATGTTGTGTCCATCATCTTTAGATGGGCTTCTGTAAGTATGCATTTTGTCATGTGGCATGAGCAAGGCATTGGATGCTCTTCAACATTGGGATCAAGCAGCTCTACCTCCAAGTTATATTTTCGCGAATCATTTGCGCTGCGTTTCATTAAAATTTGAAAAGCCACCGGAGATTTTTCTTCTAAAGTTTCACAATTGTCTTCTGGGAGCACTACAACGCACTGTTTCCAATGGGTTTCCGGCGCGTCAGGTGATGTGCTCAGTGCTACAGTTTCTTCACCAGGAAAGCGTACTTCAAACCATATACAGAAACCCTGATGCTTACCCGCAATTTGTGTGGCGACGACTTCCTTAAAACATATCTCGTCCAGATCTTTGGGATTCACATCAAGCAAGCTCATCCAATGGAACACGATGCCCTTGTGGAGTAAATCGTTGGATTTTAGTTGGATAATTTCCGGTCTTGTTGATTTTTGTGAACGCAATTTACTGGCAAAGCGCTCCATATTTACTCCGTCAACATTTTGCCAGTAATCAAATAGAGTTGGCACAGAGCAGGGCGCCACAAAAATGGTGCACTCACTGGGGAACATAAGTCCATCCGGTTTTAAAAAATTATCTCTAGCAAAAAGCACAGAGTCCAACATGCCTTCGTGCAGTAGATAGAATCCCATCCACTCAGAGACAATAATATCCACTTTCTCCGCTGCAGCCGGGAGCACGAATTCCTCTATTTGGGAATGTATTACCTTAACAACGCTGGTAAGACCATTTTCGTCAATCAGATCCAGTGCTACTTTTGTGGCCAGATTTGAGGCTTCCACAGCATAGACCAACTTAGCACCGGCTTGTGCGCAGAACGCGGATAGTATACCCGTACCGGCGCCAACATCCAGCACAATTTTATCCTTAAACAGTTCCTTGTTCTTTAGAATGGCATTATAGTACGCTTCTTGTCGTGGTCGATCTCTCAGCATGAGCTCGTGCACCTGCAAAAATATAAATAAGAATGTTTTTGTAAATAATCAGAATTAAGTAGCGCACCAACTGATTACCTCTAAATTTTCATATTCAGTAAAATAGTTATTCATTATAACAGACTTTTATTTAGTTTAAATAAATTAAAATGCATAAAAACAATCAAAGTGGATTCTTTTTAGGTTAAATAGAATGCGCGACACAGCTGTTATTTAACAGAGCCGCGAAAACAATAACACGTACAGAGCTGTTATTTACAGCGACAAAAATTTAAATTAAACTTGCAGTTTTCAGTTGTACTTTTCAAGCTGATCAACTATTAAGCAGTGAAAAGCAACCAAGAAAATTAAATAAATAAGACAAAAGCCAGTCTTGTTGGAAAAAAGTCACTGTTAATAACTTTAATCAAAATGTTAAGGTTAAATGTAAACAATGACAAGGTAGCGGAATTTGACAATGAACCAGATGAACGATAAAAAGTGAACTGCAGTTCAGTTCTTTGGTCAGCCACGTAAATTCCAACATAAACAAAACAACTTCAATTATTTCTTATGTGTGCATTAAAAATAAATTATTACAAATGGAAATGAGTAAATTAAATCTAAACGAAATGTTTAGCGGCTGGAATATTAGTACAACTGAAAAAGTGGATGAAGGTCTGCTACGTCTTGCAGAAAAAGAAGTATGTATTTTTCAGTTTTTAAACTTTTATAGAATGACATGGTATCACCCAACAACTTTTAGGCAGACGTGAATGCCAGACTCGAGGCCGTATTGTCCAAGCAATGTCAGATTGAGGCAAAGTTAAGCGGTATTAGTAAGGCTATGACCACATTACTTGCCGTGGAGAACGATTCTAACAAGTTAAATATGCAAATCGTAAACACCGCACAACTGGCTGAATCCGTAAGCGCAAAAGTACGCCGGCTGGATCTGGCACGATGCCGGGCGTCTGAGTGCCAGCAACGTGTCCACGATCTGATCGACCTGCAGTTGTGTAGTCAGGGCGTGGTAAAGGCCATAAATGAGGAGGATTATGAGAAGGGTGCGGGACATATCGCCCGCTTTCTAGCAATGGACCAACAGCTATTACAACGCACAGCGGATGATGTCCAAGGCTCCATTACTTCGGTGAGCGATGCAGTACGCACACTAGAGGATGCCACCGAAAAAATGAGGGAATTAATTTCAAAACGGTTCGATGAGGCTGTCCAACACGATGACCTGGCTTCCGTTGAGAGATTCTTTAAAATATTTCCATTGGTTGGTTGTCACCGCATCGGTATAGAGAAATTCAGTGGCTACATTTGCCAAAAGTTGTCGGCAAAAGCGCAGAAGGAGCTACGCAACACGCAGGACATTGCAAAGGCCGAGCGACGTCTTCATTTGGCCTATGCTGACCGCTTGACCGCGATTTTAGAAAACTTTGCCCGAGTCGTCGAAGTTAATCAGCCAATAATTGAAGCATTTTATGGACAAGAGTGAGTATACGGACTTGTTTTTGAAGTAAAATTCATGAGTTTTAACTGTCGAATGTAGATCTTCATCTTTGGTAGATATGGTAACCATATTGCAAAGGGAATGCGATCTTGAAGTCAAAAATCTGCTCCTGGAATTCAACAAAAATCGGCAAATTCAGTACCGCATCAAGCAGGTCAACGACAGCGCTCAGCGGCAAAGCGGCGCCAGTATGGCCAACAACAGCATACAGTCTTTGGGACATTATCGAAAGCCGTCGGGTGGTTCTATAGATAAATTAAACCCCAAGGATATAGACGCTATCATAGCCGAAATCACGGTCATGCACTCCAGAATCGAGTTATACTTCCGTTTTATGCGCCGTCGTTTGCAGGTAACCCTTCTCGCAATAAACCAAAAAATAACAAACTAAATTAAGACTATTTTAATTACAGACTAATGCTGAAACATGTTTGCAAGATAAGGAAGCACAAAAGCAAATTCTAGAGGAATACGAGAGGGTTGTGAAGCAGTGCGACTTAAGTCGCCAAATGCAGGAAATTCTAAGCACATACTTACTTTTTGAAAAGTATTTTAAGATGCACATTTACTATATATTTTCGCTTGTAATGCTAACATATTTTTCTTCAGGTATTTTATGGAGGAAAGCGTTATGAAAGCCATTGGGCTGGACACCTATGAAGCTGGTCAGCAATGTTCGTCAATCGTGGATGAAGTGTTCTTTATATTACGCAAATCGATTAGACGCTCCCTGACAACGCAATCAATCAATGGGACATGTGCTGTTATTAACAATGTTGCATCATGCCTAGATGGCGATTTTGTCACTGCATTGAAGGCGCCTTTAAAAAATGGTTATCCATCTGGTTATATTGATTTAGCGCAAGCCTACAATGCAATACAAACGAGTCTTCAGCAGGGTAAATTACATTCGAGTGATGCTGATCGCGTTCGAACGAATTTCATAGTGCAATTGAATAATGCCGATATGTCGACGGAGTATATTGAGACTCTATGGCAAACAATGGAGCAGGAGATAGCAGGCACATTCCCCAACATATCCCCAGTAGAGCGACAGCTACTAGACAGCTGCTTGACTGAGCTCAAAACCATACGCGATGCGTTAAAAGCAACCGTTGACTTTGGCATACAGCAACTAAGGTCGAGTGCGATAAGGCCACGATTAAATCCTTGGGTTGATGAATTCCTAAACTACAGTCACCATTTAACAGAGGTAACCATTTGCAATACCTAAGCTTTATGACTTAATAATTGGTTTAAACATTTAGGAGGAACTGTCCACGTACGAAGCTGGTGAAACATTTGTTCAGTATTTCATTGTGCAATTAGATGGACTTTTAAATTCGTTTAAAAATGCATTGAGTCCACGTAATTATGATGCGCTCGTCAGCATATTGGCTACAGAAGTGACCAATCGCTTAGAACGAGCTATCAAGAAGAGCACATTCAACCGGGTACAATTTATATTTAATTAATGTAAGCAACATGTTTAGTATATGATTCGATTTAATTTGCAGCTCGGCGGACTTGTTCTGGATCAGGAAGTGCGTGCCCTCGGGAGCTACCTAACGGGTGCAACTTCCTGGTCTGTGCGCGATAAGATGACACGTCTTTCACAAATTGCTACGCTTTTAAATTTAGATAAAGTTTCAGAACTGTCCGAGTATTGGAATCCCGAAAATAATTCTGAAATGCCTTCTTGGCGACTGACCCCAAACGAAGCACGCACTATTCTGGCATTAAGGTAAGTTTACATATGTGTATGCTTCTTTTCAAATTGTTTATTTTTGTTCACTTTTATAGAAGCGATTTCCGTATGGATGACATTAAACGCTTGCAGCTTTAAGCAGAAGGCGTTTTAAAATATAACAAATATTTTTATGTTCATAAAAATTATGATGCTGCGTTTTCAGTTCTCTTTACGCTAAACCAACGATTGAAATCCAATCTTAATAAGAACTGCGAAAGCGGACCGAAACTGGATGCACTTTTAATGTTAACCAATAATTTAATTAATCCCGATATGGCAACGTTAAATCTATAAAAACATTTAAAAAATATATACATATATAAATGAACATTGCGCAGCTTACCTTTCTTCGAGTCTATCAACATTATTTAAATGCTCATCGGGAGTTTCTTCCGAACAATTCACGACGCTAAATTTCTCGCAAATACTAAAAATCTCAAGAATTGTTCCATAAACCGGATATTGGGAATGACGTGTTGACTGGGTTATATTTATTTTTTTGTCGGTTTCATCGGTCAGCAGAAAACATTGTGAAAGCACATTGGCTAGAAAAACCGAATGAGCCCTTTGAATTTCTTCAAAATCAGCTTTACTAGCAATCACACTCATGAGAATACTGAACTGAGCTACAATGACAAGGAAATATTAATCTTTATACTGCTGCAGAAATATAGATATTTTGAAAGCTTACATTCAAGAACATCCACCTGTATGTAATACTGCAAGTTGTCCAAAAAGAACATTAGGTGATTGCGAAAATTAATAATCTTTAGGTTCACCGGATTTGCGGTTTTAGCGGCCCATTTGTGGCGGGCCCATACAAGCTGAAGATCATATTGTAGCTTCCGAACAGTTAAAAGGAAACGAAAGACCGTATTGTATCGTTCCACCGTTGTTGGCGAAAACAAGAGATTCAATGGCCATTTGTATATGTATTTGAGATGAAGGTTTTGAAATATGGCAAACTCGCAGCTCTCCTCCAAATCGATGGTAGTTTTTTGAACACTTAGGGAGAAATTCTCCAAATCATCAACGATTCCCATTACGTTTGCTGCAATCTGTAACAGGATTATGATGATAAATTCATTAAAATAGTTAAAAATCTTAATTGTAATGTAAATACCTCGAAGGCTTTTGTATAGTTTTTAGCATTTAGCTCAGCAATGTTTTCTGAATTTTCATATAGTTGACGAAAGAATTCTAAATAAAATTCACCGCGTCCCAATAGGTAAAAGTCCTTTATCAAATACAACTGACGATCCAAATCATCTTCGATAACGGCTATTTCTGAGAGACGTTGGCTAACGTATTTCTTGATTTGGTTAATGACACTTTCTAAGTGAAATATGTCGATCTTATCATCCTGATTCAAGTCTTCAATCATTTTACAGAACATCCCTTCTTTGCCATCCCACAGCTCACTAATATCATCACAGAATGATCCAGGCATTTTCATCATCCATGTGTCATTTTTATGTTTACTTCGGTCCAATTTAAAAACAAGAACTGTTTGACCGACAAATAAAACTTTTTCAGCTAAAACGGATGACACAAAGCTGGGCAATTGACTAAATTGGATTTCGTACTGCCATATCTCTTCCTCACTCAATGAAGTCTGCAAAAGCAAAGAAAGCAAGCATTATTGTAAGTTTATTTTAATTATCAATCTAATTACCGCCTGAGTATTGTTGGTAGTCACCGATTTCTCACTGCCATTTTTAACACCACTTTCATTCGAGGATCTATAGTTGATAAAGAACTCGGAGTGTTCATCATCTATAACACCGAACAAGAGCCAGTGGGTCAGGTGCGAAAAGAAAGCCAGCTTGACGGGTTTGGAAACCCTAAAAATAGTTAATTATATCTTATAATTCAAATTGGATAATTCAAAATTACTTGGCGATTATGTGGTCCATACGAAAATCTCCATGCTCATATGCTTGATGCAGGTTTTGTAGCAGCCTACAGCCATTAAGTTTCTTAAATAAAATATTTAGTATGTTTCTTCTTCGATAAGATATGGAAATTAGTCAGGTTACCTGTATTCTAGCATCGTTAATAAGTTTACGCAAAAAGAGTACAACCGTTAAGTGTAATTCCAAGGCATTGTAGATATATGCCAAAGAGTTGGTTGTATTTTTTTCGGAATAAGATTCCAACTGTAATATTTCATTGTAATATTCCTCAAGCGCACTATCGATACCTTTGGCAAAGTTCTTTAAATAATAGCCCGAAGAGAAATCTGAAAAGTTTAACAATTAAATCAAATGGCAAATAGTATTAAAACCCAAAATTACCTTTCGCTTCGGGGTAGTCAGAAATGTCATGCTGGCTGACGCCTCCAAAAAATTTCGCAAATCGTACAACTTCACTGACATTATTTAAGATGCTTATAATTTCCATAAAAATTCTACGTTCACAAGGATGCATAAATTTTTCTACCACCTGTGTTGCCTAAAAAATTAGTAATAATAATAGTATAACTACGCATAAAACACATGGGTATGTAAACATGTTAGACTCACAAGAAAACTTTGAATACTTATTCCTTTGCGGCTTAAACTCAAGCACGATAGTAAAATATCGTGTATCATTTTTTACAGATTGCATATAACCAGAAATTAAATTAAATAGTATTAAAACGCCCGGCGTTATTTGCTTAAGCATTTGTTGTCTTTTGTGCGAATGCTAAATATGCAGGAGAACGTCTGAGGGCTATCGATAGCACGTATATTCATAAACGGTCACACCTAATCGACGTGCCTATCGAATAAAAAAAGAGCGGAACGATGAGCACATCAGCTGTTACTGTTTGAATTTGTTGCCGGTAAGCGCCCTTAATCTAAGTAGCTATAATTGATTAATATAAATGCATATATATATATATATATATATATATATATTGATGTCCACTTAAAGGCAGTAATATATTGATTGATGCCTTGATGTTCTTGACAATGATGATACTGCAGAATCGTAACTTTAAATTTGATTTCTATTTCACTTTAAATTTCTTACCATTCAAGACGACAGTGTAGTTCTGCTGAAGCCAGTTGCGAAAGTCAAAGCTTGAGTTTCTTTTCACAAAGAAAGCTTAAAGAACAATGAATTTGGATTTTGGCTACACCTAGTCTTATCTGTATATACATAGGCATATAAATTATCCTTTCTGCTTTCATAGTTGTCAAATTTTATTGTCTTTCGGTGCGACAGTGTGGAGAATTTACACCCTGGACATCGCCGCAATAAATAAAGTTCGTGTGTCCGCCGTGGCTCGATAAGCTGGCCAAAAATGTTAACAAATATGTTTTTTATGGTCTGCTTCCATTTTGCACCTTTGTTGCCCACATGAAGTTTAAGCTATGCAAAGCACAAAGCCAAACACCTCACGAATGCCCAATGCTTTCTTTGGGCCATGTTGCCCGTTGGCAAAACTGCTGACATGGGAAAATCTTGCTGAAAAGAGCGAGGCAGGCTCGAGAAAATATACATAAATATTCTTGTTGGTTTTATATGAACTCAATTAAATTCTCTGCTGCAGATATGAAAAGTGCATACTGTATATTAAATTCATATTTACCGCATAAAGCCAACTAACTTAAAGGGATAAATATGCACCGCGAAGAGTAAAACTAAATCCAGCAATTACATTTTAGAGCCCGCATTAAAAACCGCCGGCAATACACACCAAGAAACTTATTTAATTTCGAACATACCCAAAGTGGATGTGTGTGTGTGTCTTTTTTTTATATTTTAATTACACTTTCGTTAAATAATTCAGCGACTTGAGCGAACCTGTAAGTGCATTAGCCGGCTGTTCCCCTCCTAACCCCCTCCTGTTGGCATGTGTGCAATTAGGAAGGGTGTTATTTTTTTTTTGGTTGCAGACCAACGGAATTTCGAATTTATTGCATTTTATTTTGTAACATGAATTTTTAATTTTGCTGCTACGTTAATTAACTTTAATTTTTTACTGCACCAGGAATGGCCCCCAAGCAAGTTCTTATTCCAATAAAGTTTTACTGGCTTTCTAAAATGCAAAATGCAAAATGCACAAGTGCGGACTTGGCCCTTTGCTAAATACGAGTGCATAAAGTTATATTCGTATGTGCATTATTCCTCGAGTTTATTAAGTTCGCAAACGAGTTTTATTTTATTCATTTGATGAAAAAACTTCGGCCTAAAGAGCCCAAGTGTATGTTTATGCTGTTTGGATTAAAGTCTTTCAATGTGGCAGTCAATATTAATAAATAATATTATAGTAAAGATAAAATAAAGATAAAATATTACCTGTTCGTGTTGATGCAGCAAAAAAAAAAATATCCAAACATTCGAATTTATTCCATTATTTACCAGAATTATTTTTTGTTGATTCTATATCCTATTTAAGTAACGTGACAATTAAGATTTTTTCTAAGAAACATTTGTAAAATTTATTGATAATAATTAATATATGTATAAGTATTGCACTTATCGAGTATAATGTACTTCATATAAAATTATCTATTTCAATTTCTTTATATATATCATATTTTGTTCGACTTTTATCGCCTTCAATAAGTATTTACTGAAGTCCGGCACGAGTTTGATTTGTATTTGCTTTCTTAATTTTATGGGATATTAGGTTCTTGTTAAGGTGATTTGGAACCTTCTGTTAACGAATCTCTTCTCAATTCCAGTGAAATTGGTTTGGATTCACCTGATTAATGCATACACTTATGTATCTAAATAACTAATTGTGTAATGAAAACTTGAAATAGTATTGCATGTCTTTTCAGCTCTTATGTGTATTACTACATAGTTTGATTAGTTGGTTTGCAGTATTTTGATTTTCGTGATATACATCTAATTTTTTCTAATACCAATAAAATTGACTATGAGAAAAACATCTAAAGCAATTTTGGGGATTATTTGTCAGTGCATCTATATATGAATATATATTTATACCAATCTGAAAGGCACATTTTTTCATAAATATGATATTTAGAATTTCTGTGAAAAGTTTACGATAATCGATATATATGTATATATTTTTGGTCATTTTGGTTTCATTAAAGATTGGTCAATATTTATCGCACTGTGTTTGTTTTGGTTCTTCATTGATTTGATTTGAAGCGCTTTGATGGGGGTCCCGATGCTTGAGAACTAAGGCATTATAAATAAAACTACGTTACGGTCTGACAAGCCAGACACAAGTTACAGAATATCTATTTAATTTACAACTTTATCAGCGGTTAAGTCGCACTCATCCCAATCCGCAATGGCCCAGTTGGGCAGCTCAGTTTCATATTCCCAGCCAGGCCCCTGAATTAATCAATAATATATATATGCCTAAATTCTGATTAATTTATACTTGGCATAGCTGCACTTACCTTATACTTCCATGCGTGCAAATACATGACCAGGTCCTTGGGCTTCGGGTCCCGGTAGTGCACTTTACACTCATAGCAATGCTTATCAATAACAACTTTATCGGAGGCCAATCCCAAATCCGTTTGCGTTCCATTTGGGATTTGCAGCCCTGTGGGCAAAGTGGGTGCGACATCAGCCTTGCCAGAAAAGACTGGGCTGCTATTTGTACAATGCAGTTGCTTGATGGAGTCGACGGTCTGTGGATTTTCCAAACAAGGCGGCGTGGTTTCCCGCGAATTGGCACCCACGTCGTCATCGCTGTGATGTACGGCTAGGTGATGGAAATATTTTTCATATGTAACAGATGTTTACAGAGTGAAAGTGGTTCCTGGTAATACCGAAAGTTTGATCGCTGCTCAGGCTCTCCAGGTCGGTTTCGTCTTTAGTATTCTTAAACAACGATATGTCCGAGTCGCAATCTATGCCCAGCCAGTTCTCCGCATTGTGTATGTTAATGAGATCTCGTATAAGTTCATCGTCAGTTTTGCCACCAATGTCTCCGCCGCGACCCTTCAGAGGCCCAAAAACTTCATGGTTGTACAACGGATCGTTGAGTATGGGAAAGCCTTTAAAAATGGATCGGATTTATTATGGTTAGCTCAGCGAGATGGCATTTTAATTTAACTTACCTAAATATTGCAAGTGAACACGTATTTGATGCATGCGTCCCGTTAAAGGCTTGCAGAGCACCACGCTGGTTTTTCCATTTTGGGATAGCTTCTGGAAAGTTGTGGTACAATCTTTGCCCTTCTGGGATACTTTACACACGCCAATCTTATAGCTGACCACCTCGATTGGCTCTTTGCATTCCACGACACCGCTAAAATAGAGTTTTTGATTAAAAAATCTTCCACTTATTCGGACTCTTGCTGCACTCACTCTGGAAAAATGCCCTCCACTCGACAGATGTACTCCTTTTCCACCTGCCTATTGCGGATCTGCTGTTCCATTTGGCGCGCCTTTTTCGGACTACGACCGAATAATAACAGGCCGGAAGTGAGACGATCCAGACGATGAATTGTGCGTAGATTCTTCAGGCTGAACTCCTTGGCCAGTATAAAGACGACAGTATTATGCCTGTATCGACCACATGGATGCACCTAGGGTAAGGCGAAATGAGAATTAGTTCGTGTTACGTATTTGCAAATTGGTGAGTGTCTCGCTTAAGTACAATTATTAGTTAAGTCTATATTTCTAGATTAATGCATTGTTTATGTAATATGGCGGTCGTTTAAGCCACTTACGGGTATAGAGGCTGGCTTATTAACAACCACAATGTCCTCATCCATATGCACTATTGTGATTGGTTGGCAAGTGACGGGTACTTCGTGTCTGCAAAGATATATTCATGAGTGCGCACATTTAGTTAGATATATGTAACCATTCAGTGCTTCAAATGCAACAACCCATTCAGCCAAAATGTTTGACTTTAAGTACAGAAACAATTAAGGAAATGAACCATTTGAGAGTATTCAACAAAAATAAACATATTACAAATAAAATTTATAATTCTTGCAAAGAGTGTGTTCATTTTGTGTAACTATTCTTTTTATTGCTGATCAAATCCGAATATCTGTCTCTACGCAGTTTTTTATTTAGCTATTTTATATAAATAATTTGCTAGGGTATTTAATCTTCGGCGCCCTGTTCTGAGTTGTTTGCAAAATAGCCCAAAATGACAAATTTGGTGACTGTTGCGCTTACAATTAGACAGACAGACTTGGCTAGATCGAGTCTAGCATTTGTGTAAGATTTGTTTCCATTTTAAAATTTAAACGGATTTCTATTTAGGTGACAAACTTGGAGGTACTTTATACTATAAGTTACTGTTTAAAAAAAACTAGCAACAAATATGCATTTTGTTGTATTTGAAAGCAAGTCGAGTAGCGCATTATACAAATTAAAGAGAATAACTACAGAATTTATGAAAATGAAGTTATTTGGTTAAAGGCATTTCTTGTGCCTATACTTAACATGTTACAATATTTAATAATAATTTAAAAGGTAGATTGTTTAATAGAATTTACCTGTGCACAATATTGGCCAATAAATCGTTGTGCTTCAGCCGATAGTCAATGGGCACCTTCTCGAAATTGACGGTCAGTGTCCCGGTCTGGATGCAGCGTTCATATTCCTCGGCTGGATGTGCCCGGAACTCCTTGGAAAATATGTCGAGTATCTTTTCGCCAACCCAACGCCCCTTTGTGAAGGTTGTGAAAGTGAAGTAATATGGATAGACTTTCCTCAGACCTATGCAGAAACATAAAATTAGCTTTTTG